TAGCATATGGCACCATGTATGTCGGCAGAAAGGCAACGGGGGAAGAGGCAAACACGTCGGTCCCAGATCCTTGACCGAGCTGTTCGCAAGCAGCTTTCCACCCGGACTTGAAGAAAATGTCCTTGGTGGCCTCCACTTGCTTGGTGTAGTTTTCCTCGGCCTCATTGAAACCTTCGTTGTTTGCCTTGTCCAGTTCATCCTTCCTCGATTGCTTCAACGCTTCCAGCTCGGTCCAGAGAGCGTCCATTTCTTTCTCGGCAGCTCCCAGTTGGCCAAGTAATTTGGAGTTGTCGGTGTTTGCGATCTCCAAAGAGGCCTTTGACCGTCCCAGCTCGGTTTGCAAATGCTCGACCTGGCTGGCAAAGTCGGTCGCCTTTTGCCGGAGTCAGTGAATCCACTCCATTACAAGGTGTTATTTTTGGATGGCCTGTAAGAAGAGAGTTTGATTAGAGAGGGAATCGAGCAAACACTTGAAAAATTTTGAATAAAGCATGCCAAACTCTTACCCGGGTCATAGACTTGATCGAGGACTTCATCAGCCGAGTGTCGGGCACGTGGTCACTGCCGACCACGTCGCTCGACAGTAGGAGGGCTTTTGTCAGGTCGAAGGCTAAGAGGTGTTCCTTGTCGCCTTTGACCGAAGCAGTTGTCGGGATCTCCTTACCCCGATGCTTCAACTGGGGCTTCCAGGGCGGTGTTAGCTCGGTTGTGACCGCGAGTTGCTCGGTGTTCAACTCTGCGACGAGCTTGGCTGAGGGATCAGCGGTTCTAGGCCTTTTCCCAGCTCAGCAGGTGTCCTTGCTGGCCTGTGATGGGGGGGTTGATGCCAAGGCAATGACGGCCTCAGATGTTTGCCCGGCTCTTGAAGTGCAAGGTGGGATGCTCGGTAGCTCGGTGGATGTGGCGGTGATGAAATTTTTGATACGGCTTCGTTTTGCCATCTCCTCTTCTTCGGTTAACTGGATTAGGGGCACGTTCGGTAGTGTTGGGTCAGGTGGTGGAGACGGCACGCGAAGAAAGTCGGTTACTCTACTTCGGCGAGGAGCGGAGTATCTGTAGGTCGGTACGTAGTTGAGAAGTTCGTGACAATCTCGGTTTGGGTACCGGAGCACAGTTCTGATGGCTGCTTCGTTGGGGTTATAGTATTTGGCTTGCAAAGCTTCGATGGCTACAAAGGGGAAAAGAAGAAAAGATATTAAGTACAGAATAGCGGAGAAAAGTAATTTGACCGAGCAGTTAGCACGGCTTACATGTTGAACCCAAGTTCTTGCTGATATACTTGCCCGGCACGTCGGCTGTTTCATAATTACCGGACACCTAGAAAAAGTCGTTGTCATGCATGTCTTTGTTCAGGTTGCCGGTCACTATCTTCTCTTTGCCCGGTCTGATCTTTAAATAATAGGCAAGGCCGTGCCGTCGCCTGTACGCCCGAGGGTATACTGGCAGAGTATCTCGGCTAATCCTAGGTTAGTTCCTAGCCAGTTGTTCAACTCGGCTATCCCGTTAATTATCCTATAAGTGTTGGTTGAAACTTGGGTTGGTGCTAGCCCGGTGCGCTGCAGGAACTCGCACATTAAAGGGTTGACTGGGAAGCGTAGGCCGTCTTCGATAATGGAAAGTAAGGTGAAAGGGCACTGGTCTAGTTTGCCCCAAGGGGTTGTGTCCTCGGCACCGAGCTCTAGATGTACGTTGGCGGGGACACCGTATTCTTCCTAGAACGCGGCTAGTACGACTGGCGTGTCAACCAAGAAACGGTAGTGCCCCATGTGTAGCTGGTTGGTTTTAGCACGGCTATGTTGGTTTGGCAAATTTCTCGGTTGAAGGCTGCTCGGCCATAGAGAGCCTCAGTATTGGTGCGTGGTCCCCTTGGACTCTGCAAGAAAAGGAGGGTAAGTGTAAGTGAGAGCGCGGTCGCGCAAAACGAGCTTGACTTTAGCTCGGTCAGATGGAGTGCCAGACCACCTCGGTCATGGAGGTAAATCAAGAAGCTTAGCCGCTCAAGCGGACCAGATGTTAGCCCGATCGAGCGGTCAAGTCCACTGCCTACCTCGATTTCTACAGGAGTTTTTGCAAACTCGCAATTTGCTCGATTTAGGTGTTTTCTAGGATCAAAAGAAGACCTGGAGCCCGGTCCGCTCCAGATCTTCGTGTGTTCATCACTAGAGTTGAAAAACAACATAGAGAGCAGGGGCAGAAGAGGTTTTTGGGGGTTATATCCTAAAACCAATGGTTTTTGTGCCCTAGAATGTGAAATACGAAAACAAAAAGCAATAAAAAGACTCGTAGAACTTACCAGAATGAGGCAAAGGTTGAATCTTCGAAGAGCAAGAAGGGCGCTTGATAGTGGGGAGAGCCCTGTAGCTTTGGGTCGTCTGGAACGAGAGAGAGACAGTAAGAAGAAAATGTCAAGGGACAGGTGGTGTATTTAAAGGAGAAGAACCGCCAAAATTTGAATATGAAGGAACAGCTGGGTTGGCTGCTCGAGGCCAATCAATGATCGACGCGTGTCCATGATGGCGACGGCGTCAGTACTGAAGGGACAAGATGACAAGTTGAGGCGTCGACCGAAAAAGTCTAGAAATTGAGCGTGGGGATTAGCGCGGCTGACGCCTTGTGAACTAAGAACCAAGGGAGGATCTACTCCGGTTAGATCGTATAATCCCAGTCACGCTTATGCGGACGGAATTAAAGGGCAATTGAGAGGGAGATTTATAATCTGGCTTTGGGCCGTGGTAGAAGCCGAACAGAAGATGGCCGAACACGTTTAGGCCGAGCTAACTTGGGCCTATTTAGAGGTGGTTTTGCTCGGTCGAGGTCTAGGACCGAGTTGGGGCCGAGCTACTTGGGCTTGTCTGCGTCAAGAATCGGTCTTGATCGGCCGAGGGTCAAGCACAGTGTATGGGCCGAGCTTACTCGGCCAAGTTGGTCACCTACCAACCCGGGTTCCATGGTTTGCATGTTTAGCTCAGCGAAAAGGCTTTCTGGTTGCCGGCTTGACTTGTCTGGGACTCTGCTCTACTAGAATACTACGGAGCTCGGTTGTTATGGAGCTCGGCGAGTGGACACTGGGACTCGTTGTGTAGCCCGGTTGTGTGAAGCCGAGGTGATGCCGTCGGGCTGCCGAGTTCCCGGTAATGTTGTCTGGCGGTTTGGTTAGGTGGTGTTCGCTAGATTTGTGCTGACAGATGGGAGAGCAGCTCCACGTATCAAGAAACCAATGGGTGCAGAGTTGAGCGCAGAAAATATATAAGCATGACTGTGCCCCCATGCTAGGGATAGAACATCATTTGGTGAGAGAAACTTAAACACTCAACTCTCTTCCTCTCTCTCTCTATCTCTGAGTGTGTGCTAACTTGACCGTCGGAGGGGTTTTCCGGCAACATACCGCCAAGTAGCTCACCACCGTTGTATTCTCAAGTCGATCGGGTAGATTCGGAGCTTGGATGAAAGGAGTACGGACAGCAACGAATATCTTTTCCCCGTACAAAGTGTATCTAAAAAATTAAAAATTACTTAATTTTTTTAAAAAAAATTAGTAAAAAAATACACGAAAAATATAAAAAAAAAACTCAATTTTCTGTGAGTTAAACCAAAAATAATGATTGTTATTTCTCTTGAAATGATATAAATAAAAAATTTGTATTATTTTATTATTTTATATGTATAAAAGTTAAGAAACAAATATATCATTTATTTTGACAAGAAGTAAATATAATTTTTAGAATATGGAAGGAGAATCTATATTAAATAAAAATCTAAGGGGCAAGTCAGTATAAACCCTATAAATATTTAATATCACAATCAATTAAGTGACGTAATAGAATTTTAATCCCAGCTAGATCTAATATGACAAAGCTATTTATTCATTAGTCTTTGAAGTTGGTAATCTTTCGTTATTGACGAAAGCTACTGTTCAGTCCTCTTGTAAGGTTTCATACTAGTCAATTTTCACCAAAATTATTCTCATTTAACGGTATTCATTACTGTCACTAGAAATGAGCCCACTAAATTGATATTTATTGATTTTTTTTATGATTTAATTCTGTGTACAGTCAAATAACTTGCTCTATTAATAGCTGGGGGAAAAAAAAAAGAGGAACAATGGCGTGAAAAGATTCAAAACTGTAGTGAAATGGCACAGATGCTATTTTTTCAAAATCTCCAAACAATCTCTTATACATCAAAATTAAATTTCCAAGAATCAGGCTTCGTTCGACAACAAGCTATTTTAGTAATTTTTAATTTTTTAAGTAAATTATAAGGTAAAAAAATTAACATGTTTAGAGTGATTTTTTAATTTTTTACGAAAAAATGTATAAAAAATAAAAAGAAAAATGAATCTTTGCTTTTTTGGTATAGATGGTTAACTTTTTAATTTTTTTTAATGACTTTTTAATTTTTAAACTAAAAAGTGATATTGCCAAACAAAAACTCAAAAATATTAAAGCAAAATCCCGAGAATCCAAGTAAAATTGATATAACTTCAGAAATCTTACACCACACAAAGATAACACAGATCTTACTAAGGGGCTGTTTGTTACAGCTTCTACAGAGTGATTATAAGCTTATTTTGATTTAGAAATCTGCGATAGATTATTTAATGTAATTTCTGCTTATAATTTATTAAGCAAAAATAACTTAAATAAGCTAAAAAAAACTAATTATTTGAAAATTGGGAAAGAGGTCTTTTAGCTTCTAATTTTTTATTATCAAATTTTAGCTTAAAAAAAGCACCATCAAACAGGGCCTAAGTGGTTATTTTGTCTCATTATTGGTAGGAGGATATCTAAATATATATATAAACCAACATCATGGTTGTGTTTTTGTTTTCTATTTTTTGTTTTCATTTTCTGGAAAACAAATCCTTTAATCCACAGAAGCCTCACTGCAACTTTTGATGAAAAACAACTTCAAACAAATGTATCTAGGCATAACTAATGAAGGAATCACTGTCAAGTCATTGAAGTTTCAATCATCAGAAATTATCTTCACAGAAGGCAGCAAAATAAATAAATAAATGTATTTCAAAAAAATATACTAATTCGGGCAACCCCAAGCATATTCTTGGAAAATCAGAACAAAGCTACATAACTTTGATGTAATAAAAAAATTACCTCGTGATTCGTGTTAGCAGATATCTATCAAGAGGTTTAAATTGGATACAATTCCAAGTTTCACGTAAAATTGGGTAACTATATATTGACAGCAGCAGTTCCAAAAGAGTTTCTATGTCTGCATAGAAATCAGTTCATCAACTCCGCATTGTCTGATATTAATAGCCATCAATCTATTGGAAGATGGTAAAATATCACAGCATTGACGACGGAGAGCCTTTACCTGAAACCAAAAAATATACATATCTCAACAAAGACTGGTTTAAGAACTTAAGAACAAGCATGTTCAAATCACTGAAGTAGTACCTCTACAATATCAAAATCTGGCTTTTCTGAGAACACTCTGATCTGTTTCAAATTATCTACCGCTCTGGTTCTTGAACAATTTCCAACAATGTGCCCGGTATAGTCGGTCGTGACTTTGTTCGAACCAGAAGCAACACTTCTCAGAAAGAAGGCAACAGGTCTTTTGCATGGATCACTAAATTGCTCTCTTGTATTGAACATATAAAGGCTCGAGAGCAAACTCTTGTTCCTTCTCAATGTTCTAAAAGTCCTCTGCAAAGGAAGAAGATCTGGAAGAAGATGATTTCCTTCAAACACCTGAACAGCATAACCCCATGCAACTGAAACGGTCAATGAGTTTGCACGGTCGTAACATACGGTTTGCTGCAGAACTCTGGCGGGATCCACATTCACAGCTTTGAAGAGATGTTCGAAAGCTTGAGTCCTGGACAAGTTAGGAAAGATTGGCTCCATAAAATCTAAATGATGAAGGGATAACACAGGTGATAGTGGATGTGCTGTAAGCATTCCAAACATATTTCCCCGCAAATCAACCTGGAATAATAAAAGAAAATTTTAAAAATATTTTTTGGTAAAAATTAAAAGGAAGAGAGAGAGAGAGAGAGAGAGATTTGGCTCCAATCACTAGATGGAAAAGAATATATGATTCAGTACACAATAAACATTATATTCAATTTTCACGCAGCTAGTAGAATAGGCCAACACTAACAGAGACATAATGTATCATATACACATAAAAACAGGACAAGAAGAAATGCTTCAATTGGCTAGAAAGTTCAATTTAAGAAATACATATATAGACATGGGACATACACACAACATGATACGAACACGTTTCAAACTATAAGGACACGACACGGAAAAGATACAACAACAAATCAATATATATTTTGACATATATACATAAAAATAGCAACAATATCTTCCTTTTTTGCATTACAAATACATCTATATTTTGTTATATCAAAATAGTAACAAGTCAATTACACATCATACAATGAAAAAGCAGTGTGAAAAAAAAAGTTCTAAAGAAACCACCTCAATGAAAAAATGTGTTCAAGGTCACGTGCCATCTCAATGCCTGCTATCTTCACAGAAGACCCCACTCTGGGTCACCTCAGAACCAACTACCCGTATGAGGGTAAAAATATGTTTATCAATTCACTCAATGAAAAAATGTGTTCAAGTGCCATCTCAATGCCTACTATCTTCACAGAAGACCCCACTCTGGCCACCTCAGAACCAACTACCCGTATGAGGGGGAAAGTATGTTTATCAATTCACCCCAAAATCCTATGTTAGGAGAAAGGAAAAAGTGGTCTTCAATTCACTCAATAGCCTATTTTATCATAGATAGTTGTTCCACATAAAGGAACCACCTCAATGAAAAATCAGTCTACACACCATCGAGATGATCGATTGACATGTGTATCTGCCAAGAACAACTAAAAAGTGTAACAGACCTTACTACATATATATAATTGAAGCGTACCAAGAGCTTTAACTTATGAAATGAGGAGAGGGAATCAAAACTGCATTCACAATGTAAGTCATTCTTCTCTATGAATTACATAAAGAAACGTTCATGAAAAGAACCCGATCAAATCATCACCTTTTACCACAAGATTGAATTATTTAATATTAAAAACAGAGGAATTACAATTTTTCCTGATGAACCCAGGTTCAAATTTTAAATTTAAATTTAGAACTAAAGTGAAAAATTTATACCATAATATAAAGATGATCAATTGACAAGCCTGATCATAACCATAAACAAAGTGTTCTAACAAATAAATTCACCATCAAGGTGTAACAGAAAATGAGTAAAGTTCATCAATCTTATCAACAACAACAATAATAAACAGAATTTCAACAATCAAATCATTACCATTCAAAATAAGTCCATCTTTTCTTTCCTTTTCTTGAAATATGATAATGATATTGAATCTAAAAAAAAAGAAAAAGAAAAAAAGAAATATGATAATGATAAACACTCATGAAAGCACAAAAATCAAATCATTACCTTTGATCACAAGATTGAATCCATAGTACAACAAAACAGAGTAATTTACATCAAATCAAATCATTAACTTTGATCACAAGACTAGGTTTTTACCTGATGAAATCCAGGCTCACGAGTCAAGCCCACACCAAGTTCAGCCAAGCAAGAGTAAACCCTAGCATCACTCCCATACAAATGAGGGTACCTGACGAGACACGAGTCCAAAGCCCCTGCTAAAACCCTAGACAACGACTGGCTTATCGCGAACCCTCCACCCCCGTAAGCCATATCAAACGTCCCCTGCGCATTCTGCTGATAACTCTCCGAACTACTCCCCACATAATACCACTGATTATGATCGTATTTCGACAGAGTTCGGACTAAATTGTCGGCGAAAAACAGCGTGTCGTCGTCCCCGAAGACGAACCAGCGAACATCGGATTCGTTTCGGAGGACGATTTCTTTGACAATCCGCGCAATGCGAACCGCGGCGGGGTTGCCGCGCGGGAAGGAGTAGGGGAAGGAGGAGGTGTCGGCGGAGACGACAGTTGGGGGGAGGTCGTCGGCGGCGGAGGAATTGGAAGTGGGGCGGTCGAGGAAGACGAAGACGCGGGTGGAGTTGGGGCGGTGCCAGAGGCGAAGGTAGGATTGGCGGTTGGGGAAGGTGCGGGAGGAGGACGCGACGGAGAAGACGAGGTGGCGGAGAGTGGTGGGAGAGGTGGCGGTGGCAGTGGTGGTGGTGGTGGGGAGATGGTGGTGGTGGGGAGGGAGGGTTTGGGGTTGGTGGAGGAGAAGGAGGAGGTAGACGATGAAGAGAGAGGAGATGAGTAAACAGAGGTCTTTGATACGAGTCGGAGCTTTTAGTAATTGTAATTTGGAGATGAACATGTTTCAGAGTAGACACCAGAGAGAGAGAGAGAGAAGGAGAGAACAGAGATTTTGTCTGATTCAAGAAAGTAGGCTTATGTTGGGGGATGCCTTGGATGACACGCGGGACGGCCACTGTATTCATTTGTTTGTATATGTGTCGAAGAAGAACAGTAACATCTGGTTTAAATTTGGGTATTTATATATTGTGTGTGAGTGATTTTCTGATCACATTACCAACTTAGTTATTTATATACACGCACTGCTCACAACTCTTTTGCACTTATGCCACTGTTCTTAATAGTCCATTTTTGTTCTTGATTCTGAAGCGTATTCTTGCTTTTCTATTTTTCAGATTTCGCGCCTTTAATCTTCGTTTCCATAGATCTAGGTTTGGGATTTGCTTGTGGAACCCACGATTATTAGGAAAAATTGAAACGATTCCCCATAGATTTTGTGCATCTTCTAGCTGTAGCCGAGGTCCATAAAACCCTTTAGAAACACCCCTTCTGAAATCCAACCCCTTCAGTTTAAGCCGATATCATGGGTATGTGGAAGCATAAGGTAAACACCCCGGCCAAATTAGAGCACTTTAGGTAGAAGTTTGAAATCCCAGCCGATGTTCATCTGAGGTTGGTTGGGGAGGATGACTCTATCATGCCCGATGTAAACCTCATGCCTTTCCCAGTAGTAGCGTTTATTGAGTGTGGACTTAGGTTTCCACTTGACCCTTTTTTTTCCGTGAAATCCTTCATTTCTATAGGTTGAACCCAATGCAACTTGCCATCAATTCTTACCGAGTTATTAATGGTACCATAGCCTTAACCAAACAAGAGAATGCTAGGATTACTCTTGCCGACTTCCAGTTCTATTATACCATGTGTCACCTGAAATCGGAAAAAGGCCATATCTATTACCTCAAGCCGAGGTCCACAGAATACAAAATCGTTGCCGACCTCCCTGACTCCAACAAGGGAGCGGGGGATGATTACTTCATCATTTCTGGTAATTGGGAGTTTCAGCCAAATGATGACCTCCATTTTTATCCCCTAAGTCGAACAGTTTTTGGGAAAAGAGCTGGTAAGGGCCACCTTTTACAAAATTTCTTGCTTTCTTGCATAAAGTTTTCAACATTCTGCTCTAATGCCTACACTTTTTTTTCTTTTTTGCAGTTCTCCCTCAGCCACCAAAGGGCTTCCGTCAGTCTTTCTTTTCCAACAAAGACTTGAAGAGACTACTGAATTTGCCAGTCCACAAGCGGAAGGCCCCTCTGCTTCTCAACTTCATCCCCACTTATAAGTCGGCTCTTCCTGACGTCCCAAAAAAGAAGAAGAAAAGCCTTTCTTCTCCTTCTGCCACAACTCCACAAGTCGCGTCCACATCTCGGACAGACCAAGGATCAACCTCTGATCCAGCTGAGCAGCCGTCAACCTCGACTCCATACCTGATCCCACCATCTCAGCGACAACTTCGGTAACAAACTGTGTTTGCTTTCGAGATGGGCCGCCAAAAAGCTGTTGCAAAAGACCTCTTGGCCAACATTCCTTCTAACGTCGACGCTCAGCCAACGCAAACCCAGCCTCCACCAAAGCAAAAAAGAATCAAGAAGGCTCAACCAAAGGCAAAGGTGACTCAGGTTGATACTGAGGACACCTTGCCAATTTCTAAACTGGCTGAGAGCGAGAAGACTGCCTCTGTCCCCGAGAAGAGGTCCGCTGAAACACACCCATCCGAATTCATCAGATCAAAAAGGCCGAGGTCATCTTCTGTAACGACCTCGGGGTCTCAAAAACATGATGCCCCATAGGCCCCCAAAATCACTTTGGAAGATAAGCCAGTTATAGCTAGCGACAGTGCCGACGACATTAATGTCGCCGTCGCCCTTAGTACCACTCTGCTCCTCCCCAGCGATCTCGACCGAAACGCCGATGTGAGCTAATATGAGAACTATGCTTTGATGCCCCAGCACTCTGTTCAGGTAAGTCTCTTTATTGGGAAATTTTTCTTTTTCTTCATTTACATACTTACAATATTGTCTAATAACTTATGTTTACTTTCAGGCCATCCAGCATGCTTATTCTTTTTCAGTACAATCTTTCCAAAACCGGGAGAAGCTGGCCGAGAAGAAGAGGGAGGTCTCTAGTCTGCAAAAGACTAACAAAAATCTACAGTCAAAGATGAAGACTTTGGAGGATCAGGCCGAGGCTGCCATCAAAGCTCAAAACAACGCCGAAGAAAAGGCGAACTCTGCTAAGGTCATAGAGAAGGTGCTTGAGGCCGAAAAGAAGGATGTCGATGAGAGAACGGTCCAGGCTCAAAAAGAATTGCAAGACGCTCTGGCCACAAAAGAGGCCGAAGTCAAGGCAGCCGATGAGAAGGGCTACAACGAAGGGGTGACCGATGTTACGGCAAGCAAGTGAAGCAAGCAAGCAACAAGGGTTTCATCCTTGGTTGAATGTCTCTTCTAAAAAAGCTTGAAGTCCCCGTGGACTCGCCCCTTAGGAATGCCGAACGCCGACGCCATTCCTCTTCCATTCCCTCCAACTCTAACTCAATCTGATGACGACTCTGAATCTGAGGAGGAGGTTTTGGTGAGAAAGTCAAAAGATGTTGCTGGAGCCAAGTCTCTTCCTCAAACTGAGCAAGTCCTAGACTTGACTCAAGATAAGGAGGTTGAGGAGGTCCCCAAGAAAGCTACCCCTAAGCAGGCATCATTGGACGTGCCTCTCGCCGACAAGAGCCTTGATTAGACCCTTCAAGAGATTGATGCTGAGCTTACGGCCGAGAAGGTGGCCGAGATGTCCTCCCAGCAGTCTTCCGAGATCCAGACCCTGCCTGCTAATGATACCGAGGAATCGTAGTTTTGATGTCTTTTTCCTTTGTTTTTTATACTTTGTACTTCTTTATTTTTTGAGACAATGTAAGCTCTGCATATGGCCGACGTGCCTTTTCATGAATACAACTTCCTTCTTTCTGAATGTTTGCATTGTTTGTCTTCCCTTTATTGCTTCTTGTATGTCTTTCATACTTAGAATAATTTTTTGTCTTCAAGATGTACCGTAGTTTTATGCAACCTTCTCGTGGTGAAACACCTTAGTTTACATCGGCAAGTACATAAGTACTTAGCTTAATACTCCCTTGGTTTTAACTTGTAAATTTTTCTCAAATTTCAACAAGTTTAAAACATCATCTTGGTTTAACTTCAACTTGTAAACTTTTCTCAAGTTTCAACAAGTGTTAAACATCATTTCGGTTTAACTTCAACTTGTAAACTTTTCTCAAGTTTCAGCAAGTGTTAAACATCATTTCGGTTTAACTTCAACTTGTAAATTTTTCTCAAGTTTCAACAAGTGTTAAACATCATTTCGGTATAACTTCAACTTGTAAACTTTTCTCAAGTTTCAACAAGTGTTAAAACATTATTTCTCTTCTCTCTGCCCCCTAATGTGAACATAAGTTCCACTTGGGGTCTCATTATACATATATTCCAGAAACAACGTTATGTATCTTTATCAATCACAAATGTAGAAGAATTCTGCTAAGATTTTATTCATTACGTCGGCAAACAACAAGAAAAATCTAATGATAGAAAAACTTCAGATTACAAGTATTCCAAGGTCTTGGCAACTCTTTGCCCTTATTATCTTCAAGCCGATATGCCTCATTGCCCAATACCGAAGTGATTCTGTATGGTCCTTCCTAGTTTGGGCCAAACTTGCCCTCCCTGGGGTCCTTCTTGTTGCCGACGACTTTTCTCAAGACTAGGTCGCCGACTTGGAACTCCCTTGGGTTGACTCTTTTATTATAAGCTCTAGCAAGCTGCTGTTGGTAGGCTGCGAGTTGAATTGCAGCTCTCTCCCTTCTTTCGTCTAGTAGGTCCAGATCTCGGGCTAAGAGTACATCATTAGTCCCGTTCTCTACTCCCTGGGTTTTGATCCCAGGGATGCCGACTTCAAGTAGAATGACAGCTTCTGTGCCATAGGTCATGGCAAAGGGGGATTCCCCGGTTGATCTTCTCGACGTAGTCCGATATGCCCAGAGCACACTTGGTAGTTCATCCACCCACTTTCCTTTTGCTGCATGCAGCCTCTTCTTTATCCCATCTAGGATAACTTTGTTGGATGCTTCTACTTGTCCATTGCTTTGAGGAAAGCTTAGGGTTGAAAAGTAGTTATTGATCTTGAACTTTGCACAGAAGTTCTTGATCAGCTTGCTGTCAAATTGTGTTCCATTATCAGCAACTATTGCTCTCGGAATCCCAAATCTGGTGATGATGTTTCTCCATAAGAAGTTCTTCACGTCTACATCTCGGATCTTGGCTAAGGGCTTAGCTTCTATCCACTTGGTGAAGTAATCTGTTGCTATCAGCAGGTACTTCCTTTGTCCAGTTGCTTGGGGTAGTTGCCCAACGAGATCCATGCCCCATTGGGCAAACGACCAAGGACTGGATACTGGATTCAGGTCTGCTGCTGGTTGGTGTATCAATGGTGCAAACCTTTGACATTTTTCACACTTCTTGACATAGGCCTCTGTGTCCTTTTGCATGTAGGGCCACCAATACCCTTGGGTAATGGCCCTATGGGCTAGTGATCTGCCCCAGCATGGCTTCCACAAATTCCTTCATGTATTTCATATAAAAAATCTTCAATTTGTAAAGGATGTACATACCTCAAAAAGGGTCCAGTGAAGGATCTTCTGTAGAGATGTCCTTCTGCTGTCACACTGAATCTTACCGACTTCAGTCTGATCTTGTGTGCCTCTTTGTGGTCATCTGGCAGCTTTCCTTCCTTTAAGAATACTACAATTGCATCCATCCAGCTTGGTCTCATATCCACACACATTGTTTCGTGTTCTGCGATCGGTGGTTCAATGCTCGGGCTCGACAAGTATTCAACCAATAGCGTCCTTGCCTTTCCAGGTTGTATTGCACTGGCCAGATTAGCCAGTGCATCGGCATGACTGTTATTATCTCGGTTAACATGATATAGTCGACAATTCTAAAATAAAGCTACTAACCTGTTGATTTCCTTTGCGTAGGCTGACATCCTTTCATCTCGGGCTGCAAACTCGACCGTTGTTTGGTTGACTATGAGCTGGAAGTCACAGAAGACTATTACTTCATCTGCTTCTGCTGCTATCGCCAGCTTTAG